TCACACTGTTACCGCCACACAGATCTTGCTCTCGACCACGCATTTTGTGATCCTTTTGTGCTTTTTTATGTGTTTTTTGCATCAATGCAATGCAAAAACACATATTGTCGAGCGGTTTGTGTGTGCGTGTGTGTGTGTTTTTGCGATTGTAACGAATTTTCTTCCTGAGATCCACAGAAACTACAAGGCTGAAACTTTGGTAAGTAAATATACACATGCGTGCGGACCCTATGCTCAAAATGGAAGCTCACGTCCATACGGCTCTCATGTACGAGCAAGTGAAAATTTTTTTGGCGTGAAAGCGCTTTCGGGAACGGTGCAAGCTAGAAAGCTGAAAGTTTACAGAGATGTTCCGTGGCCAATTTTAATCCAAAGATTTCAAATTCAGCCCTCATGCGCCCCTAGGTCTTACGTACGTACACGTTAAAGTTCAAACTGGCATCGCGCCAGTCCTAAACTTAATCTGACCAAGAAGCTGTAGAGAGCTGTAATTTTCTAGCTTTACTTGTTGCTCACTGATGTGCCCGTTAAAGTGAATTGAGCTTTCCAGCCCTTTTGCATCTCACGTACAGACACTCGAAAGTTTCACGCAGACACTTTTGTAAATTCAGAACTGAAGTACCAACTTCTGAGCGTAACGGATGGCGGTGTTTGACCAGGTGGATGTAAAAAAGATTTTTACGTCCCCTTTATGCCTCACGTACATCCCACGCGCACACACATGAAATATGCGTAACCCCGCAAATAAAACAGCTAGAGCGCTGGAATTTTCCGAGCGTGAACTAGAACAATCGCATTTGAACAAGCGGACATAAAAATAGCATTCGCGTTTCTCCTCAAGTACGAACACGTGAAATTTGGCGTAACTCCGCAACTAGAGCAGCTGGAATTACCTGAGCATGGCTTAGGACCGTGTTTAAGCAAGCGCATGCGTAAACGGCATTCGCGTTTCTTTTCATGCACAAACAGGTGAAACTTGACATATCTCTGCAACCTAAGCATCTTTAGTGCTGAATTTTTCGGGTGTGGATTGGGAGTCATTATAATAATTTCTAACAGCCATGGTCAGTCGCAATTCTCCTAGCCAGACGCCTGCTGGAAAAGACTTTTTGCATAGGTTCGCTGCGGGTTTTTGTCGTTAACGACAAAAGCCGTGGAGGAAAAAACGCATCTTCACACTGACAGTAAGTACGCTGTTAAGTTTGCATCTATGCAATGCAAAAACGCTTATTATCGATGGGTTGTATGTGTGTGTATGTGTCTGTGTGCATCTGCACCGACTTTTTATCTTGAAACCTATAAAAATTACAGGGCTTTGGGAACTTGATCTAAATGCGCATTTGGGTCCCAGTCCCCAAAATGGGCGCTCTTACCCACGTGGTTCTCAAGTACGGGCCCGTCAAAAGTTTCGGTTGGCAAGCCGTTAA